AGTCCCACTCCTCCCAGTGAGGAAAAATTCAGGCAGAAACCTCTGAAGAGCTGTCCCAAAGCCTCCACTGTCTGCCACCTGCTTCTGCACCCCACGGCGTGATAATAAAACAAGACGTTCTTCCAACTCCTTGTGTTTCTGGGCGGGAATAAGAGACTGGCTGAAGTTCAAGAGGAATCGGCCCAAGGCAGACACACTCGATGCCCTGTCGCTGGCCCAAACGCAGGGTTGTCTCTGAGCAGCCCCACCACGGAGCCCTGAGCGAGAGCAGGAAGCGAAACCAGCTCGGCTGTTTTCCATCATCTATTTTCATTCAGAGAAATGAAAAAAAAAAAACCCACCTTCACTGAACAAACCAGTGAAAACAAGAAGCCTGAACGTGTTTATGCTTCAAACTGCATCAGCTCCTCAGTGTTCACAGAGATGCTTACTATGAGTTGTTTTAAACCCATGGCCCTCCTAGATAAAGCTACTCCAATCCCCTGCCATCGCAAGGAGCAGACAGACCAGTACGTAACGCCTATAATTATTCTTATAGCAAAAAAAAAAATTTAAAAAAAAATCTTGGAGTGGCTTCAATGTTTCGAATCACTCTGCAGAGCGTGTCAGAAGGAAAGTGGCTCTTCTCCCTTTTGCAGCCAGCTCCTCTCCACCCCCGGCTTCCTCTCCCCAGCCCAGAGAGCCACCAAAATTAAAAGTAGAAGAGATCTGCTGCTGCTATTTCCATCCAGGCTCCACTTTAAGGGTGCGAACATGCGAGGTGAGAGGGCTGGGGGCAGGCAGGGCGCCCCGAGGGAGGCAGCTGGGGCTCCCACAGGTCTCGGCTCTGCCGGGGTGCCCAGGGGTGACTTTCCACCCTGAGCAGCCACCCGAAACGCCGTGGTCCTCTTAGTGCTTCTCCCACGTGGCGTTTGCATGAAGAGCCGCAGAGATGCCGTTTGCAGAGCGGGGACTTTGCATGAGCTCTTGATTAAAGCATGAAAACGGGTTTCCGTGAACTCGGGAGGAAACACATGCAGCGGGGCGGCCAGCCGAAATGCCGCCGGTGGCAGAGTGACACTACGCCATCGCTGTCACCAAACCCCAAACATTAGCAATGCTGCTGCAGGCACCTCCCAGAAAAAACCCAATTTTTAGTATCCTGAGAACCAAGCACCTCCCCTGCCATCAGTGACTCCTTCCACCGCCCCTCACATGGCAGCTCAATGCCCATTTTGCACCAAATACCCAAAGAAAAAGGGCAGAAAGTCACAATAAACTCACATTTTTGGGTCTGAATCAAAGCCACCAGAAAACAGGAACATTTTGGGGTTGAAGCCTTCCCCTCTCACTTCCAAAGTCTCACTAGAAATAGGAGGGTTTGTCACTCGCCAAAACCCAAGTTTTACGTGAGTCAGCCCCGTGGGACCAGGCAGGGCACCAGAGCTGGCACCGCTCTGCCGAGCTGCAGCACTGCCATGTCCCACCCAGCCGGGAAACCCGCCGCAGAGGCAGGGAACCACCAAAAGCCCAAATCTGCAATTCCCTTGGGACAACATGGTGAGCGCAGACAGGCTGAAATGGGAACTCCCGGCCGGCACCTGAATAGCCCCTTTCTTTGGTCAGTGGCTCAGAGCTCAGCACAGAGATCCTGCTCTGTGCCCAAGCTCCCCAATACGGCCATAAGACAAATGCAATAACAGCACCAAGGGTAGAAAGCGATAACGATTGCTCAAAGTATCCCAAAATGGCACCACCCACTTGCACCATAAATTTTCAGCTTCCCGAGCTGAGCAGTCCTGGTGCGGGACCCGCAGCTTGCAGACGTGTATCTGCAATTTCTCTGCTCCTGCTCTTCTGCGTCACAGCTTTGGAGAGCAGAGCCAAGAAAGTAGAGGGTGATGGGTGCCTGGTGGCAACCTCTGGAGGTAACAAGACCATTCCCACCAGCGGAAGAGCATGCTCTCCTCTGGGTTATCGAGCAGTGTAGGCAGCCCTGGCTCCACCACAAAATATCGATACGAGATGCTCTAAGGGCATGCAACAAGCCCAGCCACCCTGGGCAGACATGGGGCTGGCGTCGGGCTATTTTAGCTGGAGGTTAATCTCCAGCTCCTGCCAACTCAAACAGGGCTGGCAGCCCGCGGGCTGGCGCCTGCAACATGGCAGGGCACGGCAATCAGGTGATGAAAAGGTAAACAAACATGGGTGCCACCCACGAGCGAGGCGGCACGAGTACAGGCTGCCACCCCGGGGCTCTGCAACAGCCTTCGTGTCCCCAGGGAGACACTGCCCCGCTTTCCAGGCCAAAGCAAACAAATAAAATGCAACAGGGTGGCATTGGGGTCGCTTTAAGGAAACGTTTGAGTTTCTTCTGCTGTAACAGGATCAAAAATCCCCGGAGCAGCACAGCCCTACAGCAGTCAGCGTTTCTCCATCGTGCATTGAGGTATTGCATCCCACTCTGCTTTTGGGGAAACTGAGGCATGAGGTGACACTCTCCCAGGCCAGTGCATGGCAAAGCAAACTCTGGTGCACACTCAGACCCAGCCTGCGACCCACAACAGCAAACATCTTGCAAGGTGAACACTGAAATATTGTTTTCCCCACCGTTTCAGGAGCTTCCTTAGGATAAAATCAGATTTCCCTTATGGCAAATGGTTCTGCCACCAAGTGATGCGGGAAGGGTAACAGCATGGTGCCCACCGTGGGGGATAACGATGAGCATCACACCTGGGCCCAGCCTTCTGCTCCACGAAACTTCCTTCAAGCCATATTTCTATGTTGTAAACTCATTTTATTTCTTTTTTTCCTGCCTTTAATTTCTTTTTCCGTATGCAGGGAAGTGGAAATGGACAGGCAAAACAAGCGATGCATCTGATTCCCAGACTTTGCCAACAGGCAGGAAAAAGGACCCGACAAAGCAGTGAAAAGAGTAAGAAAAACCCTAAAATATCCCCAGCTGGGAGAGCAGCGCCCCTCCCGTGACATAAAGCAGGAACCCAGGCAGGGCTGCTCTGGGATCCTTCCGCCACCCTGCAAGCCACCAGGCAGAATAAATTGTTATTTTAACTGGCTGCCTTTCCCAGGGCTGGCTGCGCTGGAAGGATCCCATCCCGGAGGGACGTCTGCTCTGCTTCATCCCTGGTGACAGCCGGCACCGCCGCACATTCCCGGTGTTCCACAGAACTGCCAGATCGCACAACCGGGAAAGGTTTTGCTGGGTTGTTTGAAAGCAAGCTCA